TTTCCTACTGGCTAAAAAATTAATTCTGTTTGGTTAAATTGTGCTTATGTAACACCCTGGAGGATCTCATTTCTCGTGTCTTTGGCACTCCGAAGCCAGAAAAATATGAAGCTGAAAGAGAAGGAAATCCAAGTTACGCAAAGAAGCAAAATGAAAAAGTTAATCTTGGATATCGAAAGGAATATTGCAAAAATAGGACCACACACATGTTTTCTGCAAAGCGAGATCTAATAAAAATCTGTAATCCTCCGGGCTTAGATCATAACAAAACATTCTTTCATTTTAGGTGCAGCCGAAGCAAAAAGCAGCGTTTATAATCATAAGCTCCTTTAGCAGAATACACAGATGTCATACACAGACTGGTCTGCGACTGGGAGTTGCCTGTTTTCGTCAGATTGTCGATGTGTGCGGGGCAGCAACTCATATGCGACGGATATAATCAGTTGCCAGTCCGATGTACGCTAGGCTTTAGAAGAGGGAGGGGTCCGGTCAGTCGGGGAAGGCTAATGATGCTGAAAATTTCCTCTTGTATAATGCATTGCAAATAAGTTCATGCCGTTCACAGGACCCAGATTGCTATACAAAAGTCATGTTTGGAAGTCGACTGAATAAAATAAGTATTATCGATATTACAAACTTACATGGTTGACTTTAACACCATGTAATAGCCGTATTCTTTAGCATTTTATTTTGTGGATGGACAGGAAACAGATATGTAATTTATAACAAGAAAGATTGCTTTAATACAGCGCATTCATTCTTAGTATTATTTCAATGCTATAGTAGTGTCCTCAGCTCAATAGAAAAAGAACAACTCTGACTATTAGCAAGTTCCCCCGCTATGTAAAGAACCTTGCTGTATCAATAACATGCCAATCACTGCCAATAAACAGGTGTAATATGTGTTGCTGTGAATGAATGCACTCAATTTAGCACATCCATCATTGGACAATCACGACACACGAACGGCGCCAATAGAAGACGTCCCAGCGGTGGACACTTAGCCTCGTGGCACCAGCTGTGTTTGCCTTCCCCAATAGGTTAGCAAGGTTAGCTGGAGGAGCTTAAGACCACTGGGCCGACTTAAGGCAGATCAATCATGAGTTCGATTCTTATTAAATTTGACCAGTAGAACTGACGCGCTCTGGCTCTGCTTAACTGGACAGCTGCTTGATTATGAATTGAGTGACATATGCTGCTTAAACAAAATTCATTAAAAAGCAGTAAAACAAAGACTATTAACGAAGTGAAATCTGTGGACAACAAAAATGATATCACATTCATAGTGTTAAAAAATAACCTAAAGCAGGTATTAAAAGAGGAGAGGTAATGTTTGCTTTAAAACTATGAATTTCTAATGAATTGAGTTATAATAGAAACAAGCTTGTGCACATTCATATTCAGTTTGTGATAACAGGTCGACCACTATGTTTTTTTTCCCCAAGGGCAAAAACAATAATTGGTAGTCAAGGCAGGCAAAAAACCAATATATAGATTCCCGAAAGTAAACACTTTACTTATGAATGCCTGAAGTATTTTATTTGACAGAACAAATAGGTAAAAAGGAACCCACTATAAAGACGTATAGATGGGATTAAACAACTCTAATCCTATTGGTGAGAAAAAGCACTGGAGACTTTCTGTGATAGATCTCCCAGGTTTATACATCAGTAATTTATCAGAATTGTTAAGTGCCCTGTTACTAATTAATTTGGATTGAAATAAACCAAACTAAACTAACTAACCAACCAACAATAATCAGACACTGCTCGTCTTTTTCCCTGAGCAAATATCCCCTTTAAGGGCAATATTGTGAATTAAATTAACTGGTTTGACATACATAACATTTATAAGGAAAAATCCATTTGCAATCAATACTCGTACTGTATGCATTAAGTGCATTTACACATTTTTATAATCTAACAGCTTGCCCTATAACTCACTCTGTCATGTTGCTGAAATGGCACTTTCACCAGACAGAAATATTTCACAGACTGGTAGTCACACAGGCATTGCTTATCTATTGCTGCCATGGGCCCCTTTTCCTGCATTTACCTCAATTGGCTCTTGATTTATAGTCAAGTAAAGTAACGGTACTGGTTTATGTTAGAGTTATTTCCTCAAGGTTAATGCAAGTCTGAAGTCACAAGTCGTCTGGCACTGGTTAAAAGCAAACCCCACTCCCTTTGTAACCTTTTAACCCGAGTCGTCTCCTGCATGACACTCAATCCTCCATCACCATCACCATTTCATCTTTATCTCCTGCATAAACATAACTGGTCACTTTTAATAGAGGCGCTCTTTGACAGATCAAGATACAAGAATCTGGAAGTAAGATTGCGTTGTGTGACAAATTAGAGGATATCTTGAGGAACAACAATTACAGCAGACTAAACAAAGCAGCCCTCCAAAGTTGACATGGTTTATAAGGGTTCAAAACTGAGGACTGTTTTTTTATATGCCATCTGTGTCAGAAAACGCAACTAAAAAATTGCATTAAGATCTAGACAACGAGGTATAGGAAGAGGCGTAAAAAACTACAGTACAGCAAGAAATAGAAAGTCCTCCCCCCTCTTCTGTCTCCTGTGTAAAACAACTTGCCTTGTTATTCTCATGAGCACATTCTAATGAGCAACTAAGTAAATAATATGCTGACAGTTTTGCAGTCACGCTTCAGATTATATACAAACAGACGGCCAATCACAGCTCTCCAAGTCAAGAGACAGGACCGGTTTATGAGTTGAACATGGACATTTTTTAACTCTTAGTGAAGCATTAATTTTATGTATTTTTTTTTTGTATTAGGATCGTTTGTTAAAAGAAGAGAGTTTCAATATATTGCAGATTGTCTAAAACTTGTTAGTAAAGGGTTTACAAGACAAAACTCTTAAGTGAAGTTGTGTCTGTGCAATAACATTTGAGGTAGCAAACAATTTTGTGAAACTGAGCAACTAAATGTTTCCACACACAGAAAACGAAACATCTTTATACTTTTAAGTCATTGCAAGTTAAATAAAATGTTACATTTCTTTCCTTCTGAGTTTTTGTTCTCAGCATTTTAGCTTAACCAGACCAGAAAAGGTCAGTGCATTTTTCTGTGGCGTCATAAAGTGTCCACAAATTGAAAGTCAAAGCCAAGCGCCTGTCAACACCAACTTTCAGTTCACCTGCTTTTTATAGCCACCACTCCAGACACCGCTGGCGTACTCGCACAAACCAAATATAATCTCTACATTGGAGCAAGAAATAGAAAGTCCTCCCCCTTCTTATGTCTCTGTGTAAAACAACTTGATAAGAAGTTTGGGATAAAGGTTTGCCTGTTTTCTTTCATTTGTAACTACTCCATGTCATGATGAGCGCCGGCAGCAATAGCCTGTACGTACGAACAGTGGAGGGCCTTCATCTCTGTGTGACAGTAAGCACAGATGTTAGCGCTGCCTGATGATCACATGCAGGAAGCCTTATATGGAGAGAAATGTGCTGCGAGAAGACAGGAAACATTCTCAGTGTCTGTCTGTACAATGTCTTTACAATTAACAAATATTGTATGCTTAAAAGTCGTTAAAAATGGTTTGAAGGAGACAAAACAAATGTCGCTTTTTAGAAGCTATTTTCAATGCAATTAGTTAGTCAAATGTTGTGGTATTGGCAGTGGTTTGTTCTAGGGCTATAAACACATGCACTGTCAAACGATTAGCAGATGCAATACAATATCTGATCTAAACTGTATTGAAAAAATTTAAATCTGATGAAAAACACTGCTTAGGAATAAATCACTAAAATATTAAACAAATATTAGAAAATATTGATTTCAATCTGGCTTGAAAATCAAAGGAAATACCAAAATCTCATTTGCTCCACACGTTAAAATTGTTGGCACTTTTCAATATAAATGTGAATTCAAATAAAAAAATTAACTAATACAATATTTGGGGGGGCCCCCAATATTGGTTAACAACCAATTAAACAGCTAACAAAAAGTCTGGGTCTGAATAAATAATATAAACATACAAAGATGCAATATGGTTATGCCGTGACTTTGTGTAACAATTTGCACGAAAGAGTATATATGTTTAGTGTATGCCTTTAGAACCTTGCTTGAATATAATGGCTTCTTGTGGCATATCATAAAGACAGCTCTATCCCTTTCTCACTTGTAAACAACAATATCAACTGACATCCGACTGAGCGCTTATAACTCCTGTCATAGAGACTTTATATGCAGCTTATAAAAATCCAGCCATTTTTAAGTTCAAGATCCGGCCCTGATCATGGTCAAAAACAGAATGGTAAAAACACAATGTTCCTTGTGGTTGTGGTTTCTTCCTTCCTTGAAAAAAATGTGGACCACAAATGCCAAAGTATGCATATACCCTGCTGTTGCTTCTGACCCACTGGCTCAATTACAAATCTTTGAAAACATACACTGAACTTCAACAACACTGATAATATAAGCAGTTGTGAGGACTCCAAACAGTATGGGGCAAAACAATTTGGAAAATATATAACACTGCATGTCTTCTGCAGGGATAAAAAAGTACACAGTGGATTTTCAGGCCTAGATAGAAAGAGACATTCAAATAGATGAAATTACAATTACGGCATTATAGTGATCTAATAAGGTGTCTTTCCTTCTGCTGGTCTGCACGCACCAATGCTTGACACAATGCAGCAAAACAGACAGTGAATTTGAGAGCATAAAATGATGTGTGTGGATGTTAGAGAGACAACTTGATGAATTTGCTTTGATATCTTGATAAACTTAACTACTTCAAGATCCAAACAAAGAGATTTTGTTCTGCACCACTCCCCTCTATAAATCAGTGTACATCCAGACTTAGGTCAAACATTAGCTTAGTGTTTTTACTTAATGGCTCTTCCCAGCAGTGTGCAAATGCATAAAGGCATGCCTAGGTTTCCATGACACAGCTAACACCAGGCCAAATGGCACACTCACAGCCCTCCACCTTACATTTTGGCTATAGTTGTGCCTTGGCCCTTCACACTCCAGGGGTCTGCAGGTTCCTTTTGTTGTCATGAATGAGCTGAGAGAAGATCCTTCCACCCCAGCACACGGACTAATAACAATAAAGGCCCAGCTAAATCACATCTAAGGACAACAATAAAACATGCCCTGGTTTTGTGAACGGGTGGCCTCTGATCCCAATGTTTCAGTCCATAAAATCAAGTCAAAGAAAGAAGAGGTGATGGCTGGTGGCTACATGTTGATCATCCCCACACTCCTTAAGCACCCACTGAGAGGCTTTGTACAATAGAGTTACAAACCAGACATTCCCAGCTTAATTAGGTTTAAAGGACACTAATTTATGAAGCAAAGCGCACGCACTGTATTATGACAGTCGGGTCACATTGATCTAATTAGGTAAAGTATTGCAAATGTAGAATATTGTTTTAACAATCGCAAAGGAACATTACAATTCGGCTCCCATACATTTTTTATGTATTATTTATTTAGGGAAGGAAAGTGTATTAAGGTCAACAAAGAATAAAACAGAAATCAAATTAAGATGAGAATAGATAAAAGTTAAACATGTTTTCCATTTTGAGGCTTGCAGGATTTCATACATCCAATACACACTTTTTACGCATGACGTACACGCACAGTCGCATTGTAATTAAGACACCTAACACTAGCAACAACTTGTTCCGTAGATTATGCTACGTGTTTTTCCCAATGATATGAAGGACAAAAAGTAAGTTTTCATTCACAAGCCGTGTGTATGTGACTATAAAGCGCGCAATTTTGATCATAGGGAAATTGTAAAGAAGTTAGCATAAAACTTACCTACAATGTGTCCGCGCGAGCATGATGCAGCGCCCACGTGGCTCCTAGCAAGGCTGGCTAATCTTACGCTAATATTCACATGCAGAAATTCATGTAAAACTAGATTATTTCTGCCATATGCCCGAGGTTTGGCTTTCGTTTCCACCGCTACTAGTACTGGTAGGACGGAGTGCAGACTCTCCGGACTCCTCCCAGACACGGTGGGGTTAAACTCCTCCTTCACGGACACGGACAGAGAAGGATGGGGGAGGACTATGGGGAAGTCTATGGGCAGGACCATGGGAAGGACTTTGCAGTAAACAAAAAATGAAATAAATATTGCCAGAAAAAAAAAACTGATTCACAAATATAACAAACAGTAAGTGAAAGAGAAGACTAACCATTACACTAACTTTTGTTATTAAAGCTGGGGTGCCTAACTTCTTAACCTAAAAAACTAAAAACCTTGTTTTTGTCTCAACAGGAAGAGCCTTGTAAAAGTGCAATTCTGTGAACAAATCAGACAGCAACATGCTGGCTTTTTCTTCAACTCTGAAACCAGAAAAAATGTAACCATGTTATAACATTTATCTAATTCCTTGCCCTCGTTATAATAACCTTTACTATTTAGCTTTCTAGATACCCCAGCTTTAAGACCGGAAGGGAATAGGGCAATCATTGCCTGTTCGTACCACACCATAGTACAAATTACATTTCGTAATGTGCAGTGAAATGATGATTGAGCGGAGTGTGCGGATGTCTAAGGCCAGGCTTGGGCAATCAAAGAACATACATATCTACTTTATCCTAAGCTTGTGTCATTTATTTCCAATAAGTTGTTGTCTGAACTGTAGGTCACTTTGCTGATACAGTTAAAAGAGGATGGTTTCTTAAGAAAATATATTTTTTACTCATCCACTTGTTCTGGGCACAGCTTCTTTCTCCCTAAAAACTTTTTTCAGTAAAGCAAATAAAACAATAGTAGCTAGATACTATTTTTTGATACTATTGGTCAAAAAAGATCAGAAAGTGTTGTTCGAAAAGTGGAGAGGGCTGTTCTTGCGTAAAATGGGGGCAAAATCCTTCTATATACCTAAGTTATTAAGTAAGTTAAGAATTTGATGCAATTAACTAAAAATTAAATCTGCAATATTTATCATCTTTACTTAAAACTGTGGTAGTATCGGTTTTGCTTTCATAAATATACCACATTGTTTCTTTTGTGTGGTAATGTTTAATTATCTGCATAGGCTTACATTAAGTTTTCCTGTATTTTCCTGATTCATTTTAAATACATATTTTGGATACTTTTATTGTGACGTTTGCTAATGCTTGATTTGCTACATTTGAAAATTTTTATAGTCACTTTCTACTGCGTTTTTTCCAGTCCATATGTGCTGTCAGGAGCTATCAGAGCTCTGGTCACTCCGCATCTCATTACTCATAATTGGATCTGAAAGACATCCGGCCACCTACCAGCAGCACTACTTCTACTCTCTCAGCAGAGCACGCAAGACTCAAACAGACACACAGCGGAAGTGTTCTGATATTTTTATTCATTTTTATTATCTTGCTAAAAGTTAAACCTACAGAAATCCAGATCTGTATTACCCAATTTGTACAAGTTTTAACAATACTTTAAATTAACTTGATTATGCTTTGCAACCATCATATTAGTGTGATAAATCTAACTGGTGCGTTAGTATACATATTAACATTTCAACAGCTTGTCTTTAGACCATGTTTTGTAAGTGAGAATTCCCCACACCTCATGGTCATGCCACTAGCCTATGCTTTGTTCTGTAGTAATAGCCATGGCTTCCTCCTAAGTGCTTCTCACACCTCTCCCATTCTCTATTATAGAGTCTATAATGTGATATGGCCATTATTGCGACTGTATGAACTGCTGAGCTGTAGACCTTATTCTATCTCTATGTAATTACTCCTCTCATTTGTCATGTCGAGGCAGAAATTGCCTTACTCATATACTGCACATTGAGGTGCTTCATTGTGGTGTCTGGAGGGAATCTTTTGTGCCAGACATCAAAAACTAGTTGTTTAGTAAAAACATATTAGGGTTTAATGTTCAGACCAAAGCCAATTATGACATGTCCTTACTTATTCCCAAAAGGTTGCGGTTTTGTAGTACAACAGACAAAAGGTGTCTGCTTTAGCACAAGGATGAGCTGGAGTAGGGGGAGCACAGAGGGGGAAAAAACACCCTTTCTGTGAGTGCTTTTAATCGAGCAGGCAGGTTTAACGAATGAGAAATCAATGAAGACAAGGAGGAGTTAACTGAGCTCGCACTAATGTTATTCAAGCATAACATTTTGTAAATATATAGTACTGCATTCTGTATTTCTCAACTTTCTGTAGTTTTTGCACCGGTAAACTGATGCATGAAAAATGTGGATATTATTGGTTCTGTTGAGAGTTGTCTGTAATTGTCTTTTCTTTCTGTGTAGAACCAGTGATTATTCAGGGAGGACCCCAGCTCACACCCAAAGCAGTGATGACCCAGGCAGCCAACCCACGACAGCTCATCAGGAATAAGGTCAGGACAAATGAATTTAATTAGGAGGCGTGTTCACACTTACTGGTCAAGTGGACTCGGTTCACTTCAGAAGCAAGTGAAGCCAAAAAAACTGCCCTGCAACTGTGTCAAAAACTGAACCATTATGTGTATGAGTTCTTGTTTTTAAGTAGCCCACATGGTGCATTTGTCATAGATCTTTGAGTCTTTCACTGTTTCCAATTTAGCAGTCTTAGAAAATCCCGAACATTGTCCAAATCTCTGTTAACACCCAATGGAGATCTATTGCAGATATGCAACAGTACCACTGTTGCATATCTGCAATAGATCTCCACGCTCCAGTGCCTAAGGATTTTCCAATTGCGTGAAAGTAATTTAACCTTTAAAATTGTGTTTGTCTTCCCTTGACTTTAGTCAGGTTTGGCACAGAGGCACTACACCATGTCCAAAAAATATAACAAGGGAACTATGGGTGGGCTGGTCCATGTGTGGCCCTAAATATCTGGAATAGGAAAGAGGAAATAGACTGGAGAAGGATTGACAAGAAACTGTGAAAGGTGAAGTTCTAGATAGAAGCATACACGAATGGAGATGACTAGAGAGGAAGAAATAGCAGATTTCTATAAGTAAAATGTAGCATCTGACCATTTGCCACATCTGCCGTTCAAATTAAGGACAAATAAAGACCTGTTTACAGTTGGGAACAAAACACTCATGGTCCAAAGTATTGGCACCTGATAGAGTTATCACAAGTTCAAATTACTTCTAATGTCTTGTGCATGGTACGAGGTGACAAACATACAACATAACACAAAGCCTGCCTTTAAAAACGACAAAGTAGTAACTGCTGATTCCAATCGCATCGAACGCCGCTGTTCTGTTAAGTGCATAATGTGATTTGTTTTGCCGAAGCTCATTCTAGTATGTTCTAAACCAAACACAACCTGGAAAGACTGAACGACAAACAAGGACTCTTGACCCGTATTGAGAACCAACTTAAGTGTAACATTGTTTTTGGTGTTGTAAAAGAAATAGCAGGAACAAATTACTGCGCAATTAGTGTTGTTAGTGTTGACATTCTCACATTTATTAAGTCCTAAACGCTTTATAGGAAGTAGTTTAAAATGCCTTGTTAAAATCTGCTCGTTTGGACTTTCCTAATTAGAAACATACCAAGTCCACAAGGTTTTCCCACAAATCATCAGCTACAGCTATAACACATAGTAACCAAATGGTCTGGCAAAGGCTGAGGTCTGCCTGAAGGGCTGAGTAAAATGAATGGGGAGTAAAGTAAAAAAGGACTGGCAGTTTAGTGTGTGTGTGTGTGTGTGTGTATATGTGTATTGGATGTGGGTGTTTGAACAAAGAAATAAGTTGGAGTCCTCTAGTTGCAACCGTCACCATGTTTTGTCATTGATACCAGATAAAAAAAATAATTTGCTCAACACGGGGTAAACTTTATTCATATTCCATCTGGCTTTCAATAAAAACGTACTTGATGAAAAGAAAATTGTAATCCTTTCAGATATGTTTCTAATGAGTAAAGTTCTTTTTGTGACGTCCCAACATTTCTAAAACACAGTCGCTTTAAAACTGGAGGTTGAACGGATTTTTTATATAGTACATCAAGCTCCTGTTATTGTGAAATGAATGAAGAACATTATTAATCCTATACAATCTATATTTTCAAGTTGAAGTTGAGTGTCATAATCCTAAACAGATGTTATAGGGGCTTGGGACTTGACTGACCTGCTTCAGGTTATCATGCAGCCATAGGCACACATACTGCACAGTAATGACTTTTTACACGTGTGACCTTTTATTTAGGCTGTGAATGTGGATTAGAGCTACTTTCTCTCACATTAACGTTTACTTCATCAGACCTGTAATTCCCCCACTGCGGAACTAGGAAAGATTTATTTAATTCTTTGTATATTAAACACTGTTGACCACTCATCGTTACTCCTTATGTTCTCCTCAACTATCAATACAATCGAAGAGTTAACAAGTATGTGTTGTGTTTATCTATGTGTTTGGGCTCCACTTCATATTGCTTATATTTTTGACATTTCCTGTGTTTTTTGTGTGTTTTTCATGCTCAATGAAATGCTGCCAAAATTAGTTGTCCCAAGTGGGATGAATAAAATAGTCTGAATCTGAAAAGCTGGGATACCTAACTTTATTTTCCTCATATAATAATAATACATTTGGTTTTTCCCAACAGAGAGAGCCCTGTAAAAGCATCAGTTTATCTTCATCCTTTGAGAAAACATGTTCATTTTTGCAAACTAGTAAAGAAGAACTCCTTGATTTGGGCTGAGAGTTTTTTGGCTGAGTGAGAATGGTCCTTTCTTTTTAATGTTTCTGCCTGAAAAACTAAATCTAAACATGTGATAGAGGCCAAAAAATACATATATGTGATAACTAGTGATAAAACAAAAACAGTTTTGAGTGAATTGTTGATTTCCATGGATTTTATTACAGTTTTATTATTTGTTCTTTGAAAATCAGCTTTAATATATTTAGTTAAAAAAATCCTCAAAAAAAAAAAAAGACTAATGTAAACGCTGCTAAACCCAGAGCAAGGACTCTTGTAAGACACTGATGTTTAATTCTACAATAAATATTTTATGAAGTCATTTCTGGCTCTTTGTATCATGACCCTTCTTGTTCGGTTAAAAGGCCTCAATAAAAAGGATTGATAAAGCACTTTTACAGCTGACACACACCACTAATTGCTACGCTGGATGCACAGGCTGCAGTTTGAC